TCCTCCAGAGAGACGGACAAGACTAGTATGTCTATCGCATTCGAATTTTCGGCCTCCCATCTATCTGTCAGAGGAACTGGAGGGGCTTCAGACACAGTATGCCACACTCCAAACTGACGCAGCAAGCTCTCACACCATTTTGCCCAGGTCTGATAGTTGTGGCCATTTAGCTTTGGTGGAGATGGAGCAGTTTCTGAGGATTGTAAAAGATCCATCTCAGCCTTTTACTTGAGCCGTGAGTCTTATTCACTTCAAAGACCCCTCTTATCTCAGCAGCTCATTAATCACGAAGCCTTTGGCTCGTCTCCCAGATCCATTAATCTGCCGGAGTTCAAAGGCCCTTGCCGCGGCAAACAGAAAAGCCTCACTTTCGCTTTTCCTCCACATACCTTTCAGCAGTCTGTCGCAGTCTTACTCTCCTGTAAGTGCTGTGAATCTGGGCCCGAAACCTGTTGTTGGGATACTGCCAGGGAGATAAAGTCCATCAAGGCCCCCAAGCCGTCTGCCGGACGATCCATCGACCTCCCGTAGGCACGCAGCGACATGAGTTTCTAGAAAATATGTTGCCACATTCCAGAGCTCATGCACACTATCAGCAGATGCACAGCCAAAAGTTGCACTCAGGAGAGCATTATTTACAAGTTTATTCAGCGTTGATCAGAACACAGAAAAACATGACTGCCTGCTGATTTAGTGTCTGCGACACAGAGAAAACGAAAGCAACAGAAAACATAAACATCCTGTGAACAGGAAATACGCAGACTCTGTGACTCACAGCCTGCTCCCTTTTAAGGTGGAACGGAAATATCCTAACACAAACCTCTCCATTCTGAAGGAAATCAGCCCTGAGTGCTCACTGGAAGGACAGATCCTGAACCTGAGGCTCCAATACTTTGGCCACCTCATGAGAAGAGAAGACTCCTGGAAAAGACCCTGATGTTGGGAAAGATTGAGGGCACAAGAAGAAGGGGAAGACAGAGGACGAGATGGTTGGAGAGAGTTCTCAAAGCTAGTAACATGAGTTGACCAAACTGCAGGAGGCAGTGGAAGACAGGAGGGCCTGGCGTGCTCTGGTCCATGGGGTCACGAAGAGTCGGACACGACTAAACAACAACAGCAGCAGCAGCACTTTTGTTTGAATGGAAGCCAGTTACGGACACATCCAGACAAGGAAGTGTTGAATGGTTTCTTTAAATGTAAAGGTTCATCACTGTTCCACCCGATGTGTATGTCTTTAAGGGGCCAAAGCAAGGGCCAGAGCAAGATAAGGAGACCCAGCTTTACAGCTGTGAAACATAGCAGGTGCTGCCGAGTTGTACTGATTAAGCTGTGTTGGCAATTGGGTGTAGTATATAAGGAGCAGCACCTAGCTCTCCCATTACCCTGGGGGATGGGTTGGTGGTTGGGTCATGTTTGTTTGTTAATGTATTTAGTGTAAAAGGAGTTTTTGTTTTTCTTATTAAAACCTTGTTTAAATTATTTTTGAGTCCCTTTTTAATGCATGGTCTCCCCAGCAAGCTCTCTGCAGCGCTACCATACTGCAAAAAGCCAACAGGAAGCAGACCTGAAAAACATGGTGCCTACTCGGGATGAAAAGCACTCCAACGGAACAACAGCAAGAGCTGCAACAGCTTTAGTGAATGCTTTGAAGGAAGAAATGCCTCTGCAACTGATGTCTAAACAGGAGCATATGAATATATGGATGGACATTCTGGAAGCAAAGTTTGGGATTTAAAAACAAAGGTGGAGGATAATGAAACAATGATCCATTCACATGGACATCAGAAATCTGTTTGTGCAATGGGACTTTTCTTTTCTTTTCTTCTTCCGCCAGCTCCTCATCTCCCCCTAAAAATCTGATCTGGAGGGTTCCCCAACCCTTTGGAGCACCTTTTGAGGTTCTGCAGGGGATGCAAAGGGAGGAAAGGAAGTCCCATTGCTCAAGGGAGTGTTCTCCACTCGAGTACATCCATGACCTTTAATTTCTAAAACAGATTATTGACTCTAGAAAACTGGCTAATCCAAATACCAAAGCTAACTGCTGAAACTAACTGCTGCTTGAAGGCAAGCACTGAAACAAATTGCTGAACTGTCCATTTCACCATTTTTTTGCTGAAATGAATCATTTATTGAAATGAATTTTTATCAGCTTAATCTGATACACTATAACCTTACAGGGCTGGAGGTAGTCTTGTGTCCATTATCCATGATCTTCCTGTTAGATTAACTGAAGTGAGTTATGCGTGGGGTGACTTTGAAAAAAGTACAGAAAGTTCCGCATGGGGTATCAAGGCTCTTAAAGGGCTTGTGGACAATTTCACTATATTGCACTAGTGATTTATTGTCTACTCCTTAAATGGCCTCGGAGCAGCTTACCTCAAGGATCACCTCCTCCCAGGTCTACTTACCTGGACCCCGATATCATCATCAGAGGCTCTCTTCCAGTACTCCTGGATACAGGGTCTTATAGGTGGTGACAGCCTAGTTATGAAATGCCTTCCCTGGAAAGGCCCACCTGGTGCCATCTTTGTGGTCTTTATTGTCCGAAGTTTTAAAACTGAACCTTTGAATTCACAGGGTTTTAGATGTGTGCTGTATATTTTTTAGTGATGTTGTATATTCATCTTTATATTGTCTTATGCTTTGCTATTGAAACTGTTGCTTTTTAATGCTGGACTGTGGGGCAGCTTCTATTGATATATATTTTATTGATTAAATCTGTTTGCCCAGAGCAACACAAAGTGACTTACAACCAGCCAGCCATTAGTGCACTTTAGGAAGCAATCCTATGTTTCTTAGAGGGCATCGCCATGTCCCAGTTCTCTTTTGACAACATCTCTTCCCCCACCTCTTCATTTCACTTTAGGAAGCTGTTGTGCACACTTCCGGCTTTCTGCATTCTGAGGCCTTTTCCTCCTCTTAGCCAGGTGACCTCTGCATCTTCCTAGGGCTGAGCACTATGGGAAGCAGCTCCTCCTAACCCACTTCTGTCTGCCACGACCACAAGAGGTGAATGTCTCGCCTTGTCACCCCTATTTTGCTCACACACACTCTGACACACATGTTGCCTGTATCTCCTCTTCCTGCTCCTCTCACAGCTGATAAGAAGGGACACACTCTGCCAAGAGGGTGGCAGTCTAGGTCACTCAGCTACAACAGCCGTTCACCAGTGCAGCAAACGGAAGAGGGAAAACTTCTATTCTGGCCACCTGAGCATTTGGGACCACAGATGTGATCATGGATCCACTACTCCACTGCTCTCTAACCATAGTTTTGATTGCTGTCCTTCAGGACTTAGAAGAAAATAACATAACATAACATATCCATTCATCAATCCCTATATTACAGGAGCAGGGAAGCAATTTTGCCCCAAGGTGTAGATTGGAATGTGGCCATTCTTCCATGGGTGGATGGGGCCAAAAGCAGAATAAAAATCCCCCCCCCAAAAAAAATGGAATTAGAAAATAAATAAAATCCACAGGCACACACATAGAGAGAGAAAGAGGCAGGCAGACAAGTATACATACACACATTCAGAAAGCCAGAGATCCCTTTCCCTAACCTTTAAGAATAAAAAACAGCTTTTTACTCTCCAAGAGAAAGCAGTCTTTTTTCTGGTTTCAGAATTGTGCAAAGATTGAAGGTAAGTGAAATGCTGCCTGCACTTTAAAACTTTAAACCACAGAGGCTAGGACTTGCCAGTCGGAAGGTTGGTGGTTCGAATCCCCGTGACGGAGTGAGCTCCCGTTGCTTGGTCCCTGCTCCTGCCAACCTAGCAGTTCGAAAGCACATCGAAGTGCAAGTAGATAAATAGGTACCGCTCCGGCAGGAAGGTGTTTCCATGTGCTGCTCTGGTTTGCCAGAAGTGGCTTAGTCATGCTGGCCACATGACCTGGAAAGCTGTACGCCGGCTCCCAATGCCAATAAAGCGAGATGAGCGCCACAACCCCAGAGTTAGTCACGACTGGACCTAATGGTCAGGGGTCCCTTTACCTTTACTCTCAAATAACAGCCCGAGGCTTATATCAGAGCTTAGCACTTTGAGCTCTTGGTGATGCTTGGTGCCAGGGGTGCCGACTTGAATACAATATGGGGGGAGGCAGGTAAGCTCTGCCCCACATAATTGATCACATGATGCACACCATTTGAATGGCAATGCCCATCAACTTGGGGGGGGAGTGTGTTAACATATACCGTTCCACCTTAAGAGGAACAGCCTCTTTACATGCCTGTTTACATTCCAGCACAGCTGGCTGGGAACTTCCGTTTTGTGTATAGTTTTGCTTATGCTTCTTGCTTTGGACATGAAGGAGAGCAGACATGTTTTCTTTGTCCTGATGTATGCTAAATAAACTACTCTAAATATGCTTTACACAGCCTCTCTCTGCCCTTCTGTTGTGAAGAGTTTTATTCTCTGCTGGCTTGCGTGCTCAACCTTCTGAAGGTTTCTGAGGCTTGAGTTGCAATTACATGCTGATCCAAGGACTGGAGATCGCTCAGCTGACAGCTGGTGGCCTGGAGCCAGCTGGGGGCCTGCCAATTGCCCCCGTTTCCTTGGACACATCCCAACAACAGACCTCGGCCCCCAGGAGTCGGCTGCTATGCTTGGTGCCCAGATTCCTTCAAATCCTCAAATCTTACCGCATGGTGCTTAGATCAGACATAAGGGATCTCTGTGCCTAAGATGGCTGGTGATTGGCAAGTGGGTGCAATTTGTTCAAAGCAACCTCATGGGACAAACTGAGAGGCTGGTGGGCCTGGCAAGATCAATGGGCTAAAGATAGCACACTACGGCTCTAGGATGGTACCCTCTTTCATATTGCATTGTCCTCCTATCCAAAACCAAGTCATGCAGGGTTAAGGAATTGAGATCAGGAAGGGACAAAGCTCCAAACGATACACACAACTCTTTGGTTAAGATTTATTGTTGGTTAAGTTTCATGCCAAAAAACCATTAGAACACAGGCAGCTGTGTTGTAGCAGGATGAAGCCCAGGTGATTCAGTCACAGCAGAAGAACTTGACATCATTAAGTCCAGTGGTATCAACTGCAGTTATACCCTCCACCTTTGTTTGGATCCCGCAGATGGCACCAGTGGGGCAGCGCTTGCTCCATTGGCCATAAGTACCGAAGTCGGTGGACTCGCCCTCCAGTACAGTCCCATCTCCACAGCTGAACTGGATGTTGTTGGCTGCCGTATCATCACCTAGCCCTTGTGGGGCTTCCACCTTCAGAGTGAAGGCAACCAGGTAGCCCTTGGGGCATTTCTTAGCCTCTAACCACACTCCAAACCTGCAAAAAAAAGAGGCAATATGGTAATGTCTGCCTCTCTGGAAATACAACCCAAATTGGAATGATTTGCTTTCCAACATGAAAGTCAAGAGGGCAATTGCCTCCTTAGATTTTTAAAATGTGTCTTTTGTAGACCTCATCAGGTATAGCGTGTCTACCAAACCTCAAGTTCTAAGTAGGGCTGTGTGTTGTGACCCCTGGAGTAGGTGGATTTGCCCTGTGCCACCCACGACCTGATTCTGTGTGGTGCTGCTGCTTCTTCATGCAGTCCAGTGACCAGCACCATGAAGGATGGGATTCACTCACTTAAGTGGTAACGACTTTCATGCAAGAAAGCCACGGGCAAAGCAGCACCAGCACCTCACAGGATCAAGGTCTCTGCTAAACAGCTGTTGAGTAGAGGTATTGATCTTTTAGGCCAGTGCATCCGCCAGGAAGGAGAGCTGCAATATTGTGCCTACTTTCTCTCAGGAAGACACAGCCACTGGTTAGGAAGGTATTGGCCTTTTCATACTCAGCCTGCCTCTCCTTCCTGCCTGAGGTCCTGACCCCTGACAATCACAGATATTCATGAGGACCAGACAGAGAAGCCTGGGGGACCACATTTGACCCCTGGGCTTGAGGTTCCCCACTCTCAGGATAGATGGTGCTTTCCTCTTGCTCTCTCTTTCCTTGGCATGTGTGGTCCTCAGGAAGAAACACTGCTTTTCCTTACCTTTGTACTCTTTTGTTGCAGTCTATTTTCTCTTTGTTATGTGGGGCTTGGGTTCCTCTGAAATTTGGAAGGCAACCTAGAGTTGGTATCGTTAGACTCAGAGAGCTAAGAATGAGGCTGATAGACCCTGATATTATCCTGCCCTGGTGCTGAAACATAATAGGATTCAGCCAGCCCCTCACATCACCACTTTCCAAGCAACAAAGAGAAAAATCAAGAAGATGCTTACGGTCCGACAGTGGATCGTACAACTGCACCACTACTGCAGTGGAGACGGATGCCATTGATGGAAGTATCATCACCACTCAATCCTTCTGAAAACTGCTTTGTCTGGTGCAAATGAGAGAAAGAGACTGCAATAAAGCTGTTTTTGCAAGCTAGGACTCTGTTTTATATTCTTTATTGAAAAATGAAAAGTACAAAATTACAAGTGCACAGAGTAAGACCAGGCCCAAAAAACCAAGAAACAAGACATATGTTGAATGGTTTCTTTAAATGTAAAGGTTCATCATTTTTCTACCTGATGTGTATGTCTTTAAGGGGCCAGAGCAAGGGCCAGAGCAAACCTCAGCAGCAGGTGCTGCTGAGTTGTATTGATTAAGCTGTGTCAGCAATTGGGTGTAGTATGTAAGGAGCAGCACCTAGCTCTTCCATTTCCCTGGGGGATGGGGTGGTGGTTGGGTCTGGTTTGTTGATGTATTTAGTGTAAATGGAGTTTTTGTTTTTCTTATTAAAACCTTGTGTCAGGGCTGCCTCAAGTCTTAGCTCACAAAAGACCAACGCCTACGTCTTCTTGAATACAAAGGTGTTTATTGCAGTTCATGGTTTGCTTGACATGTTAGGCGCGCAGCCTTACGTCTCTTACGCTAGACCGCCGAAGTCCCGTCTGAGTCAGTTCCTCCTCTGCACCAATTTAAGAGACTTGCGCTGCTCCACCTCTTTCTCTCCTTCCTTTTCCGCAGGGTCTTTCTGCCCCCTGGGGTTTGCCCCCTTCGGGATTCCTCTGACGCGGAATCAGACGGCTGCTCCCCCCTCCTGCGGGCTTTGGGACCTGGCCCCTCCTCCGGGCTCCCTGCACTCCCGCGCGCCTCTACATTTGAACTAGGCGCGCGCGCCAAACCTCTAACTTTCCTTTTGACAGTTACACTGCTCCCTTCACTGCTCCCCTCCCTTTCCGGGAGGGCTGCTTGCTCTGACCCCCCTCCTCTCTCTGCTGCTGGAGCTCCTTCCTCTGACACACTGGAAACTCCACCCCCTCGCTGCACTTTGGTGGGGAGGCTGGTCCTGACGCCCAGCTGCCACTTTGGGATCCTCCGCTGGCACCCTGCTCCTGACATTTCCCCCCTGGGGCTCCCCTGGCCCTGACCACCGGCGCCCCCTTCTGGGAATCCTCTGATTCGCTGGAAAGACTCATGGAATCCCTTGAGTCATTGTCGTCCTCTTCCTCGCTGGCTTGGAATTCCTCCCCTTCGCTCTCCATCTCCTGCCTACCCTGTGCCTCTCTCTCTGAACCCCTGACACCTTGTTTAAGTTATTTTTGAGTCCCTTTTTAATGCATGGTCTCCCCAGCAAGCTCTCTGCAGCGCTACCATACTGCAAATAGCCAACAATAGTACCCATGTAGAAAAGAAAACGGAAAATAGATATTGTGTGTTTTACAAGGGGGGGGGGTTGCTAGTATAGTTAACCAAACTAGGACTCTGACAACACTCACATTCAGTACTAGCTTGCAACCTGAGTAAGCAGTTATCTGTTCATGATTACGTGTCCCTAATTGTGTACAAGTATTACTGGTTGTGGATTGAGATTTACATTCTGAGCTGCATCAAAAGACAGTAGCTTTTTTGTGCAACCAGTCCAATGGGCCCCAAGTAAGCAAACTTAATAGGAAAAAAATCATCTTGCTAATGGCTGCCTAAGGCACCCTCAATCCCTCTCTTATGTCTGCATATGCTGCAGCGGGTTTCCTCCAGTTTGTGAAGTTAGAGTTGCCATATTATTTCAAGAAGTAAGAATCCAAACACAAAAAGTTGTTGAGCTTTCGGGGGGGAAGTTGCTGAAATCCTGGACATGTCAGGGAAAATCTGCATTTATGGCAACCCTCCTAGAAAACACCAGAACTTACCTGGGTTACTTCCACACTAACAGTGTAGTCTGTATTTTCCAGTTGGGCGCTCACTTTTCAGGGAGATAAACCTGACCACAATATTGCCAGCTCATTGCACTCCAAACTTTTCTGTATCCTTGTCCCTTTTTTCCTCCAGTCCATCCAGATTCATGGTAGTTTTCTTTTATGTAAAATGCAATTCACTCTAAGCCTCTCCAGTGTGGATTGACAAAGTGGCATGGAGACTTTTTAGAGCTATTAAATCTTTAAGCATGGCAGTCAACGCTTCAAAGCACCTTGCAGGCAGCAATATACAGGCAATGGGTTCAGAAAGAAAGATGGGAAGCAACTTAATATATATATATATATTACATTATTGTGACTACTCGATTGGGATCAGGGTATCAAAAAGAAGATATAGATAAGCCTTTACCTTCAGTGAGAATCCGTATGCATGTCCTTTGGGACAGAATTCAATCTTTCCCCATTCTCCCCACTTCCCGCCATTGGACACCATGAGGACTGCATTATAGTTTCGATCTCCTGCCTCACAGAGGTGGTAGGTGAGGAACAAGAAGACCACAGCACTGGTAGAGAGATCCATGGCAGGTGGACTGCACCAGATCCAGCTGCAAAAACTGAATGGAAGAATAACAGCCTTGAGAATTTATTCCCCAGAAAGTGTGGTTCTCTCTCCTCTGCTCAAAATCTTCCTGAATCTTGTGTTTCCCCCGGGAGAGAAGTGTGATTACTTCAGCTTGGACTAAGTGCCTCCAACATCAGAGATACACACTTTAGCAGGGGCTTCGCTCTAGGAACACAGGAAATTGCCTTATTCCAAGTCAGGCCATTGGTTATCTAGCTTAGTTCTGTCTACACTAGAGCTACTCTCCAAAGTTTCAAACAGGGGACTTCCCAGCCCTACTAGGAGATGCTGGAGGATATACCTGGGACCTCCTGCAACACTGATCTACAAATTAATACATGGAAAGGGCATAGGCTTGCAGCGCCCCTTAGGCTAACCTTCCCCACCCTGGTAAATTCAATATGCGCTGGACTGCAACTCCCATCATCCCCAGCCAGCAAACACGGTGCTGGTTCCAGCTGATGGGAATTGTAGTCCAGAACATCTAGAGATCACAAGGTCGGGGGATGCAGCCATAGATTTGCAACACTTCCAAAGGAATGCATTGTTAAATACCCTGAAATCTTTTGTGTAAAGCGGGGTACACTTTCCACAAAAAGTAGGGCCTAATACCACTAACAAGAATGCTTGACTGAATCCCCACTGGTTACTGGCTACTGATCAGGCCTCTGTAATTCTGTTTTTTTATTTTTTTATAATGATATTTATTAAAGTTTCACAAAATTATACAAAACAAAGAAAAAAGTATAAAGTACAGCAAGAAAGTAGAAAATAAGAAAAAACATACAAAATAAAACAGTTAAAAACACAATAATGTTCCATAACCTATCTTCCTTACTCTTATTTCCCCGGACCTCCTCATACCTCCCTTCTTTGTATTCCAGTTCCATTTGTTGGTTCAGCAAATCCTTACCATTAATCTTTTACCCAATTGTTAACCTTTTTTTTTTTTTTCATATCTCTTAAAGCATTACAGCTAAAAACCTCTTAGTTTCTATTCAACATCCTTCTAAAGTTCTCCCGGGAAGACACCTGTCTGATAATTTGAGGAATATAATTGATATTTTGGAAAAATTAGAAGTGAATATAAACACCAAAGCAGTATTGATATTTGTTGACGCGGAGAAAGCTTTTGATAATATCTCTTGGAGTTTTATGAAGAAGAATCTGCATGGGATGGGGGTAGGCCAAGGTTTTGAAAATGGTATAGGTGCAATATACTCTGAACAAAAGGCTAAATTAATTGTAAATAATGTGGTTACGGAAGAATTTAAGATAGAAAAAGGGACACGACAGGGGTGCCCAATTTCCCCACTGCTTTTATATCGGTCCTGGAGGTTTTGCTAAATATGATTAGAAAGGACCGGTTGGTTAAGGGCATACAGGTCGGAGCTAAACAGTACAAATTGAGAGCATTTGCAGATGACCTAGTATTGACGTTACAGGAGCCAGAATCTAGTACTAAAAGAGTTTTAGAATTAATTCAGGAATTTGGTCAGGTGGCAGGTTTTAAATTGAACAAGTTAAAAACTAAGGTTTTAGAGAAAAACTTAACACCGATTGAAAGAGAGAGGTTTCAGAATGAGACAGGATTGAATGTGGTAAAGAAAGTGAAATACTTGGGGATTAATATGACAGCCAAAAACGGGAACTTATTTAAAGATAATTACGAAAAATGTTGGACGGAAGTGAAAAAAAGATTTAGAAATTTGGTCAAATTTGAAACTCTCGTTGCTGGGCCGTATTGCTGTGATAAAGATGAATGTATTGCCTAGAATGTTGCTTTTGTTTCAGACATTACAAATTGTAGATAAGATGGACTGTTTCAAGAAGTGGCAGAGAGATATTTCTAGATTTGTCTGGCAGGGCAAGAAGCCCAGAATAAAATTCAAGATATTAACTGATGCCAAGGAAAGAGGTGGATTTGCCCTGCCAGACTTTAAACTTTATTATGAATCAGCAGTGGCTGAAAGAATGGCTACTTCTTGAAAACACAGACATTTTGGATCTAGAAGGTTTTAACAATGTATTTGGATGGCATGCATATTTATGGTATGATAAGGTCAAAGCACACAAAGCATTCAAAAACCATATTGTTAGGAAAGCATTGTTTAATGTTTGGATAAGATACAAAGACTTATTGGAAAATAAAACCCCAAGGTGGCTATCACCAATGGAAGCAAAAGCTCTGAAAAGGCTCAATATGGAGGCCAAATGGCCGACATATTGTGAAATTTTGGAGCAAGAAGGAGATAAATTGAGATTGCAGAGTTTTGAAAAATTAAAAAATAAAGTGAGAGACTGGCTCCACTACTATCAGATAATGGAGGCATATAATTTGGATAAGAAAATAGGCTTCCAAGTGGAAAAGTCAAAATTAGAAACAGAATTGTTAGAATCCAAAACTAAAAATTTGTCAAGAATGTATAACTTGCTGTTGAAATGGAATACTCAGGATGAAACGGTGAAATCTGCTATGATTAAATGGGCACAAGATGTTGGACATAATATTATGTTCGCTGACTGGGAACAGTTATGGACCACAGGTATGAAGTTTACGGCATGTAATGCCTTAAGAGAGAATATCATGAAAATGATATACAGGTGGTACATGACCCGAGTCAAGCTTGCAAAAATTTATCATTTGCCCGACAATAAATGTTGGAAATGTAAAGAAACTGAAGGTACATTCTTTCACCTTTGGTGGACGTGCCCAAAGATTAAGGCTTTCTGGGAAATGATATATAATGAACTGAAAAGGTATTTAAATATACCTTTCTGAAGAAACCAGAGGCCCTTCTCTTGGGCATTGTCGGCCAACTGGTGCTAAAGAAGGACAGAACTTTTTTCATGTATGCTACAACAGCAGCAAGAATACTTATTGCAAAGTATTGGAAGACACAAGATTTACCCACTTTGGAAGAATGGCAGATGAAGGTGATTGACTACATGGAATTGGCGGAAATGACCGGCAAAATCCGAGACCAGGGAGAAGAATCGGTGAAAGTGTAGCACCCTGCTTGTGGTTAACGCTTAGCTGGAATGAAATATTCAACGCAGCAATAGAGAAATTAAAATAATAATTTATTTGTCAGACAAATAAATGAGAGACACAGTGGTATATGGATACCAAAGCTCTGCCTACTCCAGCCCTGATGGCCAGCACTTATATTTCCTCAGCCCAGCCCCCTTGCTCCTCCTTTGGCTGCCTCTGTCCAATCAGCCTGGTTGAAATTCCTATTGGTTGTTTGCTAGAACCAATCATAAAAGATACACCCATTTCCTATTCCCTTTTATGGGAGACAAAAAGCTATATTTCCTTGTATCCATAAATGGCAGACAAGTAGCCATATATCTTACATTTACCTCGACCAGGCACCTCAATTACCAGATAACCTTTGGCCCCTGTTGCCCTATTCACCGCAAACCAGATGGCTAAAGCAGATGGTGCATGGTTTCTAATTTTTTTATCTTAAAGAGATCTTGAGTTCACCTTCTCACCCACCATAATAGGAATCTAACATAAGAATCTAACATTTCTTACTTTCTAAATCCTTTGCATAATCACATTTAAGCCAATATATTTCATACATAACATAGATAGATTTTTAGAAGGAAAGGCCTTTTCAAATTAGAAGGAACTTAGTAAATTCTCTGAAGCTTCAAAACAGTTTGGAGAGAGGCCTTTTCCCTAACCAGCAGCTGTTTCTAAGAGCAACCTCTTCCATTTAACCTTTAACCTTATGGCTCGAGTCTTCTGTTAAACAATAAATTTCACTATTTACCAGTTCTTAATTGTGTTTTTACAGCTTGATTGTATTCTGGTCAGTGTGACCTTTTGCTCTCTGGCTCTAATTTCCTTTTACAACCTTGAAATACTTTTATTTATAGCAGTGGGGCCCCTTGAACAGCTGCCGGAGTATTCAGCTGCTCTTCTCCCTTGCAGAGAAAAATATATTTACAAATATAATTTTTTTAAGCTCAAAGCAGATTTTGATCAGATGCCTCATTCCCCCCTTTCAAGCTCAAGGACCTTCATCCCAAGTGTCCTTGATAGCTTGACCTTCGTCATATTCCTGAGGTAAAGCTCTGTATAGGGCCATAATATGAGGTAAAGTTTCATTTGAAATCATCTTGCTAATTGTACTTCTAAAACATGAAATGATACATGGCACCGTACATAAAACCATTACTACTACCGTCAAGAAAAACAAGCAAGACAATAGTATCCCTTTGAGTCCCGCAACATTAGGTAACCAATTGGTGAGCCATCCCATATCCCATCCTTCCCATATTTGTACTGGGACATGTGCTATACTCTCCATCTTTGTGGCCAACACACGGATTGCCTCACCATTATCAGAAATGTTAAAGCAACAGGCATTCCCTGTCAAGTTTAAGACTCCACATAGGCCTCCCTGCCTGGCAAGTACATAATCCATTCCCATTTTCAGCTGCAAAATGGCGGCTCTACTTTCATCCAACTGTTGTGCAATAAGTCTCAAACTCTGGGCCGTTGCATTGGTTACAAGTTCCACTACTGCTTGCAATCGAATTATTCTGTTTAGATTATAAATAGGATCCCGTGCCCCTTGTATGAGCTCATCAGGATTCCAGGAGGCAGGCTCATAATAGGCTATAATGCGCTCTGGTGGCCAATCATCAGTATCACTCCAACTTTGGGTACTTCCTCCTGCTATATGAGAAATATCAGCGTTTCTTCGTGTACGCTTTGCCGAACTAGTGGGCATAATCCACATTGGTGGTAATACCCATCCCAGGAAGCAAGTCCCACTCCATTTGGGAGGGAGTTGCTTGTATGCCCATTCTCCACATATCCACCACAACCATCGGGTCTGAGGTTTTTGGTACGTGGAGTGCATAAGGCGAAATATCAAAAGGGGCATAGAGTTCACAGTGCAGTATGTTAGATTGCCTTTTTCTGTCACAGTTATGTT